ATATATATATGTATATGTATATATATTTATATATATATGTATATATATTTATATATATATACGTGTGTGTGTGTGTACACGCTTGTATCCGTATGGGTGTGTTTGTGCGTGTGGGACTCTGCGTGTGACGATAACAGCAGATTTCAAGTACCCAGTCTAAGTACGTTTAAATCGGATGCTTGTTATCTGTCACATGCCTACACAGCCAGATTTATTTCGTTCCGTAATTCCAAGGTAACGCATGTCGCAGAAATATGTATATGTCGAGTATGCCTTGGTATATAGCTGAATACTCTAATGGGATCGCAGATGTGGTATGTCTGGTGTCTGGAAACAGCATCGATGTATTTCAACGTACTATGCATATACGAATAACCGGCATACATGATACTTACAATACATGTAACTATGTACGTGTTCTGTTTCTGTTGTCCTTTCATGTATCTCACCCCGGTCGTGACATCCATCCCTCATCGACCTCATAGTTATCGCCTGACCCGCCAGCTTGTATGTTACTTTTAAGATTTGACTTATCCATCACGTCTGACAGGCTAAACGAAAATACCTTCGAGACGCCAGAACATATTACAGGTGTAAAGAAGAATTTGAAGCCTACCGTGTGCGGCTAAATTTGGGTATGCGATGAGATCTTTGATGTTTGGCTTTGTCCGCGCGCCTTCACATCCAGGCCAACATGCTGAATATATACATATACATGCACATACAGTATAGGAATTGAGATGTTATGAACCACGTGGTAGCTCCTGTAGGTACACCTATTTCTTGGTTTGGATTGGTACAGGTGAAATATTCGTTTGTGTGAGATTCCGTATGTACCTCATTCCTCTTCTTGTTTTGGTTTTTGGCCCCGACTTTCTACAGCACCACTCCCTTTTGTTGGCAAGCCTCTCCCCGTGCTCACCGAACCGGCGGTATCCATCGCAGTCCCCGTAAACCAGAGATTTGAGCGACTTATAACACCGGTATGTATATTGCACCTAGTATTAATAAGATTCATTACATATGGCCGAATGCATCCACTTCGCATTGCCAATAGGGTCTGGTGTCAAATTCCAGGATATTTGTGTCCGCACACCAATAAATAACTGCAGATCCTCTGCAAATTTCCCCCTGCAAGTGACAGCAAGTAGACGTATATGTATCTGTATTAGTGTCAATAATATCGTACAAAACAGATTTTGATACCTTGCCTTTGCGAGTATTCCAAATTTTGAAAGCTTGTAGACCTCATGTGGAGCTTAGCCATGTACGCTCAAATGTAATCTGATATCATACCCATACCATATCATGCATTCTGTACATAACTACACGAACCTCGATTCTTTTGTTTCATCATCGCGCTACATGGCATATGTATGCTCTCTCACTACGAGTGTATGGGGCAATGTCTTCGACTTAAGCCAATTATCTACACTCGTCGCCTTTGCGGCTGGTAAGATCTATTTTAGAGTTGACTTATCCTTCCAGGTATGAGAACGATTTGTTTCCCTACACTGACGTACTGTACTGCGCAATGTGCTACAGGAGGAGCAGCTGAGTCACGTCATCAGCTTCACGGAGAAAAGTCTACCAGACGCCACCAAAGCTCTAGTACGACATCTTGCGTCAGCCACTCCAATCGATACCACCGGCACTAATAGTGCTTATCCAATACCTCAAAGTGGGCCGACAACGACCGCTAATAGCACCGGTAGAAACACGAGCGAACCACAAAGCCGAAAACCGGTACGCCACAATCTGCGAAATCGGGACCGCATACACCTGAAACGGGCGCACAATGCCGACAGTGCAAACAATGCACCGTAGGTATCAGAATAAATGATCCTTCTCTTCAACGATTGATGCCCAAATGTTCGTGTGTCTTTGAGCGACACGCTTGGAGCGAGCGCACGCTACTGTCAAAGATTCAAAAAAGGTTCTATAATATATATATATATGTGTGTATGTGCGTGTGAGTGTGTATGTATGTATCCTTCATACGAAAAATCCGCCAGGGACAAATCTCAAGGTCGAATTGGTAGACAACTCGTTGCGGAGAGATTCTGATGCTTATTGCTGCTATATGATTCTGTCACGGCAAAAACTCGTTGTCTCGCGCTGTTTCGCTCGTATCCAATTCTATCTATTCCGCACAAGCGAGGGCCGCCCAAGTTTACATTGCAGACTCATCCACGCCGAGTGCATGGCTGATAGTTTTGCTCTGATCCCAGGGATCTGCCACGTCGTTGTGATATATACACTCAACTAGATGTTTGTGTGACTATCCTATGCTTTAATTTTGATTCCAAAAGATCGCAGCCTTGCAGAAGCCCATCCCGCGGACACCCTCTCAAATTTGAGGATGATTTTTACTGCAAATAATTACAAACGTGATGGAGACAGGTCCGAGTTCTCGTATTTTGATTCACAATGATGTCTGAAAAATTGACCGGTGTATATTAAAGATTTATTGAACTACATTTATTTGAGGGTTTAATAGGCACAATCACTGTCGCCAAGTCATGTCAAGAATAGTTCCCCATCGTGAGTTGTTCAATGTAGTTATATATTATATACTTTTATGATCGGGGAAAATGCCTACTTACGCATTTGTCTCGATATAGTGGACTTGACAGGCGTAACTGCCCATCAATAGTTATATGCGCATTTTGCCAGGCTACCATGCATATATCTACATACCGGTTTGAACTCCTAATTCACTCAGACAGGTATACATGATAGTAATTATCCTCTACTCGGGTGTGGGGACGATAATTATAGAATCTCCACCTATACATTCAAAATCCTCCAGCTCGCATCGCAGATCGCCAAGGCAGGCCAACGCATGAAGGGGCGCGCACACGATTTCGTTGGCTTCTTCCGCTATCATACTATTACCCTGACAGTTATCATCAGTCACATCGGCACCGTATTCACAATACTGGTTCGCGTTACAAGTAGTGGCGTCCGTAATTGTCTTACAGAAGGAATCCACTTCTGAATACATGCTGCCTTCCGGAGGAGCGGTGAAGCCAGAACTATCTAATGCTACTGTACCGTTGCCGTCACTTACAACTGTTATGACGCTATATTGGCCCTGACAGACGCCGTCAGCCCACTCGCATCGTTCGTCAGTTGTACATGATACTTCGTTACCTGTGATACATGCGATATTGTTCACACGCTCGATCAACTCCCCATCCTCGAGGCATTTGGACATCATTGGTAAGACTTTCCAGATACAGAAATCTAATTCTGTACACTGTACTTCGGTTGCGTTCCCACAATATGAGCCAGCATCCACAACAAACGGTACTCCCGGCGTTTCAGATAATTCTTCCCGTCGAGCCGACACTGCTTGTACGCTTGTTAACACGAGACTGATTGACACTATTTGCGGAATCATGATGAATTATAGTATGTGTATATTATAGAGCAAGCACTCACGTACCCGAGAGTGAAGTGAGTGAAGTAATGTCTAAAATACCCGTCCGGTCTTCTATACAATCGCACTTTCTCTTCTCATCGCTGAAAATAAAGTTTAAAAACACAAACAAAAGTGAGATCGGTTCTGTTCGAGTCACTGCACTGAAGGCAGTAACAGTTCTGTTGACGGGTTGGAGTCCCTGCAGAATATTTTACCAATATTTTAACGCGAATGTATAATTTAGAGGGCTATGGAATATGAACAAAATGAATTACCCTTCTGAGTGTAAGCTTTTCTAAGTTCCTGTTGTCACCGATTTTTTGTCCGTCCACAAAAAATCGTCATTGATTTCATTTAACCCATTTGTACACCTCTTTGAGTCCCTCCGCATTTCAGAAAGAAAGACTCCACATTTGTTTGTGTATTTTTTATATTTGGTTTTTAAAAAATAAAAAAGGGCCAAGATATTTTACCAATATCCCTATATATTTACGTGATTATGAACAGAATGAATTACCCCTCCGAATATGCGCTTTCAGTCCATAAGGCGTCCCAGCCGTGTTTTATTATTTAGATACAACGGACTAAAGTTCGTAGGAGATTGGCGGGCTAACAAGGCGCCCTGAAACAGGTCTGCCTATCTGAATTCTGACCTGGAGAATGCCCCTAAAAATACTTTCAGGACCATTATAGGGATTTAAAAGTTTAACGTACAGACTACAGCGTACCCTCAGACTCTGACAGACAGTCAGTCCTTGGTCAAAGAGAATTTTAAAACAGCAGTAAGTATAATATTTTCAAAAATATCACGGTAAACAACTACATATGAACAAATCAAAAGTTTTTAATTTTAAATTTAATATTCGACGTATAAAACTAATTCTCTCTCTGTAGGGAAAAAAAGTAGATAAAAATAAGATCCAAAGACCAAAGGCAAAAATTTGAAAGAGTAATAAATATACCAAAAATCTTAAAATTCGAGTCTGTGTTCACCCGCAGAATTTTCAATGAAGTCGGTACCAATTCTGATTCAGCATAATATAAAAATATAACACTTTTTAGTTGTTGTCACTCTGCGATTAACAATCTGCATACATACGCGTGTCAATCCGTCAGACGCAGTCCTGAGTCCTACTTACAGTCTGCATTTTCTTATTTCTGCACTGACTGCAGAGTGAAGTCAGTGATCAGTGATCAGATGAGTGATGACTGCTGAGTATGATTCACGTCTGCGGTCTGACAGTGCTGAATGCTGACATACTCATGTGTCCTGCGGCCTGCTAAAACAACAAATATTTTGTGTTAATGACTAAAATCTAAATATGTGCCTTTTGAAAATGTTCTTTTTCAGAAGAAGGCTATGCATAGATAGACTCAGCCCTCTGTCTAGCTTAGAATAATTTAGAAGAAAGCTATGAATATGTATGTAGTACATAAATATATATGTAGTACATAAATATGTATATAGTACATAAATATGTCTGTACTAAAAGAAGCAAGACGTCGGGTGAAAATTTGAAACATATTTGTAATACCACCGTAAAAAGGATTCGGTGCAGCCTTGTCAATAGGCAGCAGGCGAATTCAGAAGATAGAGATACTACGAACTGAAATACGAACAATACAGCCAGTTCGACTGCGGAGCATTCTCAAAATATTACAGGAGCGTGAGTAGGCGCGTAATTTGATGTGCGAAGTTTCGCCTAGTGATTA